AAAGTTTTACAGATGGTTATGATAGACCCCAATTGAAACTAAGTTAAAAGAAAAAAGCAAAAACCTGATTAATATTACTAGATTACAATATCTGCAAGAGTGGTCTATTAATGGTAAGCAGGGCTGGATTATCCTTTAGGTAAGTAGAGACAGCAGCCTAGGATCCCTCAAGCTTTTATGAAGCAATGATTTTAATTTTCTAGATGTTTTAAGTTTTAAATAGTTTCATAAACTGAAATGATATCAATATGACAAATTCATATTTATTTGACTTTGCAGGAAGTGATACAAGGAAAAGAATGTTACCATTTGTGCCATTATGTTTCAAGTAGATGTTTGATTTTAGTTTAAAATGTTTAAGTTTTAGAAATTTTTTATAAAGTGTGGAGTTACCCCACTTACTTTCCTAAATATGCCACAAGGAGATGCTCCCTAAAGATACAAATAGGTAATAACATTCTTTGTCATCCTCTTTTTCCTTTTTCACTCAGGGATGTGAGATGTCGTTTGAATAAGGAAAATGCTTTCTCACTGGGGAACAAATATGTGCATGCATGCACATATGCAACTTTCACTTCATTTTCTCTAGAACTTTCTCCTACATCAAACTACACACACACACAAACAATTTACTAGTTTAAATGTTTTCTTCTTTCATATTCATTGTTTTGTAACACGCAACAATATTCCAGGGTCTATATATACCTTTGTTTCATTAATACATACATTTGTTGTTATTTATCATTTTATTACCTGGACTCACATGCTGAGTCTGCCATTTTTGTTGTGGGATAAATATACCAGAAGACATGTGTTTTCCAACCTAAACACTCAACAAAAATACCCCTGCAACAAAAGCAATGATTTTAATTTTTCTAGATGTTATAAATTCTAAATAGTTTCATAAACTGATTTTTTTTCATTTAAATTCAGGTTAGGACCAAGAATTTCTAAATATATAGCAGGAGTTCTAGACCATATGTGGCAGCAATATTCTAAGCATGGATGAATAGTTGATATTGATATGCAAGATAGATTCTGGAAAGAAAAATTGTCTTGCACGACACAGTGAACCAACTTTCTTAGCAGCTGACCTAGCAATAGATTCAATATAGTCTTTCAAGTTCATGTCAGCCTGAGAAAGCACAACGTCACTCTCCTAGAGGTTAGCATCAGCCATTCTGATGGAAGGCAGAATATGGTCTCTCAGATGATTAATAGAGAGCAGTTTTGTTTTGGAGGTGTTAAAATTAACTAGCCATTCTTTACTTCAACTTCAGTTAACAACAGACTGTAGATCATTTTGGACATTAGTCACCAATTTGATCTTATTGAACTGATAAGACTTACTATCAAAACAGGAGTAAACTGTTGTGTCATCAGCATAGATACCAAGTTGAGAGCTGATGTCATCAGGAAGATCATTAACAAAAACTGAAAGCAAAGTAGGACCAAGGATAGAGCCCTGGAGAACACTTACTGTAATACAAAAGGATCTAGAAGAATGGCTACTCAGGATAACATCAATTTCACAATTTGATAAGAAAGACTAGATCAGTTCAAAAACTTGTGATGAAGACCAGTATACCAAATCCTACTGAAAGCTTTCGAGATGTCCAAAGCAATAACCCAAGCTTCACCATTCTTATCTAGAGCTTGATAGATTCTTTCTGCAATTGTCAGTATATTAGCAGTTGACCTAGAGAAACTAAAGTCATATTGCTTGTCTGAAAGAAGGCCCTGTAATATGAGATGCTTAACCAATTCAGCATTGATTAGGGTATAGGAACCAATTTTTAAATCTCTTTATCAATATAAAAATAGAAGCATACTACTTCTTAGGGTTCAAGACAATTTCAGAGGTCAGTTTAATCTACATATGCATACACGTGCACCCCCCACACACACATGCACAAAATGGAAGACATGAGTCCATGCACTGACAGAAACATTAGGCTGACTGTCATAAAGTAAGTCTGTCCACACATTTTACATTGCCATAAGAACACTTAATTACTTGATAAAACAAACTTCACTGCAAGAAAAATTTAACATTTTATTGTTATTGTATACTTCTGAAAAGAATATATAAATTTTTTTTCAACTCATGTGCTGCTTTTACTTTTCCTTCAGAAAATAACCATTTCTATGTTTCATTTAAAAGATGTGTTGTAGTTGTTGTTAGATGTTTGAAATCTTGACAACAGTTTGGATCCCAACCAGGGCCTTTAATTGTTTCCAAAAAGATATAGAAGTCTAAGAGGCCAATAGGTGGAATGATCAGACGATTCACCTAACTTCTAAAAAATTGGATCGACAAATGAGGTCGGAAAACAAGAGGCAGCAAAGCATTTATTATACAGTTTATGAAAAACTCATATTTATTTTGATTGTTATAATGTTGGTTATAAAAAATGTTTTTTCTTTTTACTATTGTTTTGTTGAAATATGTGCTGATTTGGTTTGCAATAAATAGTAAAATAGTGATATTTCTTAAAGAATACTTTTATTGATATACAAAAGACAGCTATTTTAGTTTATTTAGAGAATTTGCAATAAGTTTACTTCAGGCTATATAAATTTTGCTGAAATATATCACAAGTAAAAATATTCAAGATGAGTGTAAATGAGAGGGTGGCTCTATCTGAGGTGAGGGGAGCATAAGTTCATGATTATTTCATAATTTTATTAGCCTAAAGGCCCCAAAAGGTCATAATCCGGCCCTGATGATAAGGCTTAGAAGTGAATTACTAGTAGTGAGGTAAATCACATTTGCAAATCAGGAAAAAAATCTAACTTCAAATTCAATAAGAGAAGGTACGTTACCTAAAGATAGTACTCATCCAATAAACAAGGCAAATATTTACAAATGCATATTAAAATATAAAAAAGAACTGTGTATGAGAAGCGATGTAAATTAACAATTTCTCTTGCCCACCTTATAAATGAAAATTCCAATAATTCTTTGTAATACTACTGAAGATGCAGATTGCATAATATTGCAGTGAACGAGTTAGGCAATTGTAATTTATGAGATTAGGCCAACTTTAACAAAAGTCTACATTCATGGAACACTTCATATGAAATGAGCTCATTGTCAATGTTCTACAAAATTGGAACACAAATCATCCTTCTGTAGCAAATGTTCCAGTGGACTTATCATTTGGAAGCATTAAGCAGGAGTAGAAGTTAACATTTATCACACATTGTGGAATTGAGTAAATGCTTTTCAACTTGAAGCTATAGCTGAAATTTCAGATTGTAATATGTGCATTAAAATACCTCAAGATTGTTTAAAGTTGTATAACAGTTTGCAAAATATCAGTTTTTCAAACAAAAGAACAGATACAATATAGTCATCATTAATTTCATGTTTGTGTTGTATTAAAAATAAAAAATGAGGGATTTTTACAGTAGAGACAGTATTTGATAAATTTAATTTTCCTTTGAAATGTTTTAACTCATCACATGTGAAAATCAATATAAAAAAATGCATTCTAATTTTGGGGGATAGACAGTTGGGTAACAAAGATTATTTAAGTAAGCAAATATGAATTCAACTATGCAAATTGTACTCATTCAAAACTAATTTATTAAATCATCTACAATAGTGTTTTCTAAGAATAAAGATGAATAAATTTAATTTGTTTTATTTTCTTAATTGGGTATTACCATGGTGTTCTATATTCTATAGTACACCATGGGCATTACTTGAATTGACTGGTCTGCTCATAAAATAATAGGGATGGATTTTGGGAGGAATACATTTTTAGATTAACATTCATTTGACATTCTTCAAGCTATGGCTGTCAGAATGAATGATAGCATGTTTAAATTTTGCAGTTGTGTTGTCATATCCTGCTATGGCAACAGAAAATGACCATGACTGAAATTAAGTAGTGAATAATGTAGAATGTTAAAAGTTAACAAAATAAATAAAGTGTCAACTCAATCCCTGGTTTCATAATGAGATGTCTGTACTTTGATTTTATTTACAAAAATTAATTAGAAAAATCATTGTTATTTTCTAAAATTGTTCATGCAATATTCACTCACAAAAAAGTGTTCTTATAACCCAAAAGCTTTAAAAAACCTACAAAGGGCGGGTTGATAAACCATAAAAAAAATCAATTGACAAATATCAAGTTTCAAACTGTGTTTATGTTGTAATGAAGAATGTGCAATAGGGTTGAAATAGACAAGGTTGCTGTTGGTCACCAATTTGTAGTAAGAAGAGTTATGACTTATTGCTGAGGAAGATGAAGACCTTCAGAATAAATGAATTCAACATTTTCAAAAGAAATGAATTTCAACATTTCTTGAGGATACAAATTCCACATGTGAAGGAGTTTATATATATATATATATATATATATATATATATATATCTAAAGTGTGTGTGTGTTGACATTTAGGTAAACAGCTGTTGAGTGACTAACTCTCCCCAGAGGGGAGAACTGGACATGTCTGATACCTGTCACATCCTGTTTCAAAGTGAGTAAAAAAGAGGAAAAGGGAGTGAGTCCATTCCTTTTCTACCACTGATTGCCATGCCATCTAACTGGCATCCACTCAGACAACGGGGGTAGGTGGTATTTAATCTCTATAATGCCATGGATAACTGTGTACTACTGATGTTGTCCTTTATCTTAATTTGTAATAATAAATAACTCCTTATGAAGTCAGGGATCGATTTGATACTGTATTTATATTATGAACTTACCCCCCCCCCACCCTTTAAAATTATAAATAATCAATATTTTTCAATTCTGACAAATGCCAGGGCTTAATCTATTGAATGCTAATCTACAAAAATTATTAGAAAAAAATCTCCCCTATTTTTTTACAAGCAGTCAATTTAAGTAGTGTCTATTAATTGTGTATTTTTTCTTTTTCCTGATGCTTCTGGAATGTTCATGTCACTAACCAACAAATCCACTTTTGCTAAAAAATACATAACAATATATAAATATAAAATAACAGTAGATTTTTAAAGTTACCATAGAAGAAACAGTAAAGTCTCTTTCCATCATTTTATCTGTGAGCCAGTCTACTTTCCTCCGTGTATTGCAAAATATAACAGCCTGGGTGATAGTTAGAGTGCCATACAAATCAGATAAAGTATCCAATTTCCATTCCTAGAGGAAAAAACAATTTCATCTGTTAAATAATATATCTCTTGAGAAAAATCATGCTATTTAGTTTTATTTACAAGATCAGTTAATATTTTATGGGGAAATATTAATAAGGCATCATCAATATACTGGAAATATGTTGATTGTTTAAGTTTAGAAATTCTAAGAAAAGAAAAATTAAAACTCCGCTAAGAGATGATCCCAGCAGTAATATGAATTTCTGTTCATAAAAATAATTGTTGAAAGTGAAATAACATTGGTTTGTGATGAGTTGGCAAATTTTTATAATTTTATCTACAGAGTGCAATGGATAAATTGTCTAAATCATGCAAAAATGAAAATAACACTGATATCTCATTTTAACAGAAAAATTACACAAACATATCTTGAAATACCAAAGAGTAAATTTATTCAATAAAATCGCCACTGGCTTCAACCATGGCCTCCAGATGACTTTGGAATATCTTTCAATTCTTCTGGACAGTCTCCTTGTTTAAGTTGGTGAATGCTGCCATAATCTTTGCCTTCAGTTCATCTTTGGTGTTACAAGGAGTTTTGTTGGTCTTTCGCTCAACTGTGCCCCACACATAATAATCAAGGGGGTTGCAGTCTGGGAAGTTAGGGATGATGTAGTAGCAGAAATTGTCTGACAGCCATGACTGGGTTCTCCTGCTTCTGTGGCATGGTGCAGAGTCCTGTTGCTAGACACAGGTTCTTCCAGCAGTTACCCTCTTTACTCAGGGCAGCACTACCTTCTCAAGGCACTTGGTGTAGGCCTCTGTGTTTAGTCTGAGGCACTGTAGGAAGTTGAATAGAGGGATAATGTTGCTATCATTAGTGATCACTCCAAATACCTTCATAATCACCATTAGACTCATCCAACTCTCTCTGAATCCTCTACACTGTCTTCAGATTGATACCCAAACACTCTGAATTCTTTATATTGGAGCTTCTGGCTTGAATGCCAAACAGTACAGCATGCTGTTTTTAAATTTCTGGCGAAGTGAATCGTGTTATGGTGCTTTTTTTCTCACAGTTGACACCCAACTGATCCTACTATACTGTGCAGTCAACAAAATCAAAAGCAAACAACATTTATGCATGAAATTAAAAATATAAAATGCAGACAATTTACCCATCGCACCTTGTATCAGTAGGGAAAGTTAGTTTTTGATTTTACTCGGTGTTTTTAAAAGATTTAAGCATTTGTCATAGCAATTTTTTTATCATTTCACTTTAAGCAAAGCAATAAAGCCTTTAAGATGTAAGGAATTACTGAGTGTGAAAGAATATGAGAAAAAGAAAAACATTAAGGAGAAAGTTCCAAATAGAAAAGTGCATCAGAAAAAATTACCATGAAAAGATTTATAGAAAAAACACAGGAAACCTACATTATGGCAGTGAGTAAATGACTGAAGCCAAGATGCCAGGTCAGACTGATAATATAGCAGATTCTTCTTTGGAATTTATCAAGAATCTCTAAATACATAGCAGAAGCACTTGTAATGAGATTTGACATTTAAACTAGCCATGAGTTTATCTGTCATATTTATCCCCCTTAGTCTCTTGACCAGTTGCAAGAATTTTTAATATGTGAAGGACTAATTGTTCCAAGAAGTGGTGTTAAAGTTTTCGCTATGGCCTTGACTAGTCTATGGGATCACCTTTTATCATTGTTTTAGCTTGTCTTTTAGAATTTTTAGAGACTGGTCCTTTCCAAAATATTTTACGGAAACAATCAACATATTTCCAATATATTTATGTGGCTTTATTAATATATCCCCACAAGCTGTTCTTGTTAACAAACTAAACAATATTGAATGTACAATAAAATTTACTTATAAAGCAGGTATGCTATATGTACAGAAAATTAATTATTTTATGCATTAGAAAACCAGTACAAATATACTTTTCAATTACAATTTCTACAGTTTTACTTCAGTTAAATGGATAAACTATAAACATTTTATTCTACAGACAGACATATATTCTACAGAACCACATACTCAAAGTCAAAGAAGATTTTTTTTTAATACACTAGTAACTAATTTGCTGTTTAAAACCAAAGTTACTTTGAAACAAAAAAGTTAAAATAAACTATCAAAAATTATATGTAATAAAAAGAAATACAAATTTACCTCTCGTTCAACTTGGATATAAAATTGTTTAATACCCTCAAGAGTAAGTTCTTCTTTTTTTACTAAAATCTTCACAGGATCTCTCATAAAGTGTGTGGTCACCTCAAATACATCCCGAGGCATTGTGGCTGACAAAAGTACAACCTATAGGAAATATAACAGTGAGAGTAAAATTCAAGCAATAAAAATTATAAAAGATACATTTGGTAAATAAGTAATGCAATGAAGCTAATATATTTTTGACCCCAAACTTATTTAAAAATATCCATTTCATTTTATAATTTCAGTACCTAGTATCAGTGATGTGGTGAAGTTTGGTAATGCCTGGGGCCAACTCTTTGATTGCATGCCAATAAAACTCTAGTAGGGGAGCCTATTGGACCAAGTACTGAGAAATGTGAGAAAAGAAGACATTTTAAATATGTAAAAACAGATGAAACATGAATTGAATAAACACTTTATTCAAATTAAATATAAACAATTTTTATTTCACTCTTTGATTGGATGCCCTCTCCTCTGCTCCACCTTTGCACGCTACTGTCTGGTATAATGAAAGATTATTAAAAACTTTTAAAATTTTATACATATAAAAATAAGAGCTTTATTTTCTTTATTTTGGTGCTTTCTTATTTTCTGACATTACACTTAATTGCTTTAATTCAATAGTAAATAAATGATTCAAATTTAGTTTAATTGCTTTTTGTGCAATTAGAATAAATCTACCAACCTCATTTTCATGTTTTTACAAGTGCTGTAAAGTTGTATATGTTATACCACTTCTATCAAGATCTCTTTCTGATCCACAAACACATTTTACTTGACATCTGTCTATATCTCTGAGATGAGGTATTATGATTACTTACATTATTTACACTATTCAAACTGTTATCCTCATATATAAAGAGGTGTGGCACGTAGAACTAGACAATCTACCCTGGTGGATGAAATAAAGGGTTTGGTTTGAAATTCCAATCTCCTGAAGAAGGTCGAATGTATATATTGATTTGATTCTTTGTCTTTTTGTACCACATATTTTCATTTATAGAGTAAGATATCATTAAAGGTATTAAAATTTATTATCCCATTAAAGCAGAGAGGCTTAATTATCTAATGGCATGTAGAATAACACAATAGTTTCATAGTAGTCAAGATATAAAGTTCTCAATCTTATCATGGTGAAGGGAGAATGCCTTCAATTTCATTCTTACTGTTTGTGCCATTCTTTTAGCAATTCCATTCAACTATGGATAGAAAATAGGAAGTATATTCTTTAACCAAAAATAGAGTTCTTCATCACAAAATTTTGAAGAGTTAGCCAATACTAAAATCTTAGCTATCCAATGTTAAAATTCTTCACATATACCTCATTCTCCATCTGGCTTTCACAAAATGACAACTGATGATGCCCATTGACTACCAGGTAGAATGTATTCTAAAAGACCTCGTTCAACCATTTTTTGTAGTTTTGCAACTACCAGTGCCAAAATATGAAATGGTAATTTCCATGACTCATAATATAAGGGTTCAACATTTTTCTTCAATTTAGACTCATTTTGTAATCTTTCAACATTCCTATTTTTTCCTTGTTTGAATTTATACATTAACTAATTTTGCCTAATTTATGTTTAGTATATCAATTCTAAACAAGACATGGTCTTTTTTTACTATCAGCAACTACAATGAGTATTGTTTCCATTTCTAATGTACCTTCAAAATAGCCCAAGGTTTTTTTTATAATTGATCTATCTATTTGATGTAAATGTAAATGGTACTTTCATAATTTGGGTTTACCAATACATTTCCAAACATTTCTGGGAATCTATGTAACTTCATAACAGGTATCCACAGAATATCTAGTTTTACATTGTTCAATTTAATTTTTACCATTAAATTTTTTCCTTGGGTTTTCAGCAAAATATATATATATATGTTGGTTTCTGAATTTTGTTGATGCCATTCAACATGGTTGACTCTTCTTAAATTTACACACCATCTGGAAACTATTCTTTTTCTTACAGTTATCTTTATAATTTTTCAAATGCTGGATATTTCTCTTTGTTCAACTTGTGTTTGCAACTTCAAAATTTACATTTAAAAACTATTTGTTTTATTAATGTGGTAGACATTGGCATCAACTTCTAATTCTCCTTTTCTGATATCAGGATCATTAAATTGTGATGTAAGTTCCTGCTGTTGTATAAATTCAACACAAACATTGACAAATATATTCCCAAATTGTAGGTGTTCAAGAATTTTATATTGATGAGATGTATTATACGTTTCTTCAGTTAATCTTAATTCAACTGGTCCTAATTTCTCAAATTCACAATATCAAATTCCATTCCACAGTAGATATAGAAATTTCGTAATTTATTCAGAAAGTTCTTGTTGCATAGACATGAATTTAGTTCTCCTAACAATAACCAATTTCTTTTTTAGTCTCATGTTGTTTTTTATCATTTTTTTTGTATTTCTTTAAAAAGCAAGTCTTCTAATTCTCTTGTGTGGGCCATTAGAAAGTCTTTCATTACTGCCTTACATCCAGCTGTAGCCAGGAATAAATCCATGACTTCATTGTAACCACCAACTGCCTTGCTATTTTTTAACTTTTTAGTTCTGGCAGTAGCAGTGAAACAACTCAGCTAGACTTCAACATAATCAGGTTCATCCAACAATAACTGGGATCTTGCTGGCAACATCCTTGTTGTAAAGTCAAATATTGTAATGGTTTATACTCAAATAAGTAGTGAACCAAATATAGACTGTTTTGTTCCTAAGGAAGACAATTTATAGTCTCCACTTTTCACATATTTAAATTTGACTGCTATTATAATAACCCCTCCAAGTTTAAGAAAAGATGAAGTAAAAAGTGTATACATTAATGTACATTGTGGCATAACAGCAACACAAATGAGATTAAAATTATAAGCATGGTGGCCAGGATATTCTCAAGATGTAGAAGACTATGTAAAAAGATGCCCAAAATGTGCTGAAATAAAAAAAATTTTGGCAAGACCTAACGAAAAAGAACCATGTGCTCGGGTACACATGGATCATGTCCATACTAAAGGCTATTTTTCATTTTTAGTGGACTTATTTTTAGGATGGCCTGAAGTAATTAAGGTTGCTGAAAGAAAAGCCAACATTGTAAAACAAATATTAAGAACAATATTTTCAAGGAATGAGGTGCCTAAACTTTGGTCGTAGATGACACACCAGAATTTTGTGAGGAAAGTTTGTGCTCATGGCTAAAGTGTATTTGATGCATCCCATATAAAACACCACCCTATCACCCATAATCAAATGTAATCACAGAAAAAATGGTGCAGACTGTGAAAATGGGACTAAAAGTATTTTCCCCATCTAATGATAATTATAGAGAGTTACTTACCAAGATTACTGTTAAGCTATAGGACAATTCCACATACCAGCAGACTACAAAGTCCCTCTGCATTAATGAGTAGACAGATTAGAGCTCCCATAACAATGTCATTTTCAACAAGTGAAAGTGTATGGTATAGAAAAGACACAGAATCTAATCCAGAGAAGGTGAACTTTGTAGTACAGAAAGGATACAACACAGCAATACTAATGAAAAATAGACAAAATGTACTGGCCCATGCAGATTGATTCAGAAGCAGAATGGAACCCAAGGATATAGAAATGTACAAAGAATCTGAAGGTAAAGAACATGAAGGGGAGGAGAGGACTAATGTATCCAGTATTGAAACTGAACAGTCTGATGAGGAGTTGGAATAGGAAAATGAACTCAGACCTAGGTCTGAAGAAAGCAAGATACACACCAAGAAAGACAGTTTAGATTCCAAAGAATAATTAGAAGTAATCAAAGATCAATGAAGAACATAAAGCCATTTCGGTTCAGGGAGGTGTAGTATTGTATGTAAATGAGATACTGCTATAAAAGCAGAACACCACAGTGAATGCCAGTTGAGCTACCATCTTTTGACCTAACAATGTGTATTTCAGAGATTACTTCATAATAAGTATCATTTGATTTGATTCAAATTTGTTATGTAGAATAAATAAAAAAATGGCTTGGCTTATATTATGATATTCCATACTATTTTGTTAAAACTAAATTCTAAAATGTGAATAAATACTTTTGATGAAAGATGGAAATTAAGTCAAATTCTTTCTGAGAATATTCGTTTTGCACTATCATTATTGGGATGGTTCTAGGTCAACTGCCCTACTGACAAGAGCCCAACAGGCAATTGCCTGAATGATAAGAGCCCAATGGATAACTGTACTACTGTACTGACTGTACTGATGCGGCATTCACCCTGGGCGGATTGAGCCGGCTTCTTCCTGTTATGAGAAGAAGATTCTTGGGATAAATTACAGAAGTAGGGTACCCAGGCCTACTCGAATAACGTTCTTGCTTGCTGCGGGATTCCCACAGACGCAGAGACAGGAACGACCAGAAGCCGCCGGTTACCGATGCAGACGCTCCTTGGATTTTCACCAGAGCCCTTGTTAGCCGGCGTGTGTGTCAGACCTGTCCGCCTTAGGTGGCCCTACCAGGAACAAAGTTCCGGGCAGCATAGCTCTGACACTACCGTTTACACCCCGCCACCAACTGTGAGGTAAGGGTTGGACTTTGGGGGCTTACAGTACCAGGTGTTCCCAAGCGGTCCCCCATCAAAGTACTGACCTGGCTCTACGATGCTTAACTTTGGTGATCGAACGAGAACCGGTGTTTCAGCGTGATTTAACTGTAAGCCCAATGGATAACTACCCGATAAGGACAATTGCCCAACAGAAAAATGCCCAATGTTTATATATATGTAGAATATTTAGATATTTTTGCTATTATTCAAAAGGGAAAGTTATAGATAATAACTAACCATTCTATCCTCACTTCTCATGGAGATGAAGTCCCTGGTGCCAAGGTGAAGCTTAATATTTGTTCAATACAAGATATTTTTCAGAACAAAAACTTATGTTGTGAGTCTGCAAGAGTTGTTTTGTTTAATATAAAATCATTCTTATTATTAGTTTCAATATTACTTTTTTTTTTTTTTTTTTTTTTTTTTAAGCATTTCACCCCAAGCAAGGCGGGGAGCCACTAGGACGCAAGGGGTTACAGAAAATAGGAAGATCAGATAGGAGTGATAGAAGAAAGGATGAGGGTAGTAGATAGATTAAGGCAACTGGAGATGTCGATTGACATTACACTTGAATAGCTGGAGATTATAACTCTCAGGGAAACAGGAGAAGGGAAGAGAGTTCCACAGGCGAGAGGTGCGAGACATGAAGCTATTAGAGTAGAAGAGATTATTATTAATATTTGCATTATTTATATTATTGTTAACATTATTATTATTACCAAAACATTATTATTACTTTTATTGTAACAAAAAAACTGAAATAATAAAGAATATATTCAAAGGTTTAAAGCTATTGAAACTTACTTTTTAGTAAGATAAACATTTGTCGGTGAAAATCAGAAGCGAAGAATCAAAATTTCTCTTTCTCTGACTTCAAAAAATTGGTTCTATTTTTCAATGTGACACAAGGAAAACTGCTATTGCACTGAAATTTTACTATGATACTTTCCCTTTCAAATGTCAGCAAAAATATCTAAATATTCTACATATATATAAACATCAGGCACTTTTCTGTTGGGCAGTTGTCCCTATCGGGCATTTTTGTCGGTTGGGCAGTGATTTGTCAGGCAGTTGTCTGTCAGGCACTTGGCCATCAGGATCTTGTCACTTGTGCAAAATATCTATTGGGATATGGCAAAAAAGATGGCGGTTTATTGGCCACATTTTAAAGCAAGACCTAAACAACGACAGCAACTTGTCACTAAACTGGGCATCTGAAGGAAAAAGGAGAAGGGAAAGACCTAGAATGACATTGAAGAACTATGTAAAAGAAAAAGGAAGCAATAGGCTGATAATCCTGGAGTGAAGCATGAACAGCAGCTCCAGACACGACAGAGTGGAAATGTTTTGTGGAAGAAAAAAAGGCACCAAGCAGATAGATAGATAAAATATTCTTGGCAAAGGCATAAATTTTTCACTTTTCCCACAAACTATGAGTTAAATATCAGGGTAGATTGTCCTCTCAGACTTTGATAGTCAATCAGTTTAGGTGAAAGACAACGATGAAAATTGAAACTAGAGAGCTAGGCCTAGGGCTAACAACTCCACTATGTAAAATAAAAAAAATTACTTGCAACTGAAATCATGGATACCTAAGTGTTGCTGTGACCCTATATTGCATAAAGAGTTGCATAAGGAGTTTGCAGGAGTAAACAAAACAAATAATAATTTAATCAGATGGAAGTAAGTGATAAATCCATCTGAGCCCAAGAAATGTGGGTAGAGATTTTTCAATTTTTTGTAAATTACAGTTTAAAAATAATATGCTATACTGTAAAATAAGTTATGACTCTTAAAACTTTTAGAGTTACCAGGCTGGACTACTTTTAAAGCTCAGTACTACTAAATTTTGAAGCTGAAGGGGCAAATTACACATTATTAAGTCTCTAACTTTTTAGCCCCTCAACTTATATATTCTTGTTCCTTTATAATTATTATTATAATGACACTCCCCATTAAAGTATTATTTGTTTAAATGAATTTTCTTTATACTTCACACACAATGGTAATTCCTTTTTCATATAAAATACTGTGAAACTGGAATCCAGAATATAAACTTTCAATTCTCTATAAATAAAGCTATCATATAATATGAATCCATTTTGGATTCAGGTTTAGTTTTGGTGAATCCCCCAAATCCTATATTTAATTATAGATATCAGACTTCTTCTCAGCTCTTATTAAACAATAATTACACAGTGTTATATAGGAATAAAGTGTCGCTGCCGGCACTTGAGTTTGAACATAGATCACCATTGAGCAAATACAGGCAATCCCATTATTGAATTAAGTAGAACGTGTGACCATAGAGGAAATGCATATATGTAGGAAGTAGCTGATGACTTACAATTGTCATTTCTAGTCTATCATCTATTACTATTTGGATTTGCTATTTCTCCTCTATCCTCTATTACTATATGGACCACTATTCTCTATTATCTTCTCTACACTATTCTCTATTCAGATCAATATGGTAGCTACTTTTTGAGTGAGTATTATCAAGCAAGTACTATTAGTGCAAGTGCTATTCAAAGGCATCTGACACCCACATTGTTCAACAGTGTACTATAGTTGTATCTGCAATTACAAAGGTTCTACTACAACGAGCATCACAAGTGTCAAACGAGTGTTAGTTGACATCATCACAAAATACAGTTACTCAAATGATACCAGGTGTTTCACAATATTTGATTTGTCATCCTGAATGTTCACAGTCACAGATGACACACCAATTATGAGATCTGTCTTAACTGATATCACAAATGCACATCATTTGCTTTGATCAACAGTATCAAAATAGTTGCATAGTAGCCACATGTATAAAATATCTATGAAGATTAAACTAAAGATTACATGATACAGGATATTAAACAGATAAAGAGATTAAACAAGAAAAGAAATGTGTATAAAATTCCTTTAATACATATTTTAAAATAGAAAAACAATTTCAGTAACCCTTTGCATCTTTTATAACTTTTATGAAAATTGCAAAGTTAGACTGAATATTTTCTCTTACCATTTTAAAGCAAATAAGAGAGTAAAGTAACACTAGTTGTAAAATTCTCTTTTATGTAAAAACCAAAAGATATTTCATACAGTTCTATTAATATTATATTCTTGCTAATTTGTTAACCATTATCACTCTGTATGTGACATCATTTGCTGTAAAAAACGTTTATCCTGCCACTCAAGGAAACTCTGATTCTTGAAGGCTTTATTGCCTTGCTTGGGGGTGAAATGATTAAAAAAAAAATTTTTTTATATCAAACAAGAAAAATAGCTCAGTGACAGTTTGAATTTGAACCTATAACTAGATTGTATCAGTACAGATAACCTCTAGTAATCTGCTGGTTAAAACATTGATTTTAAAATTTTGTAATCTAAAGGAAAGTATTAAGCTATGATAAGTAAGTAGGTTTTAACCTTAAGCACTCTGCATTATTAATAATACTTCTCTTTTCACTGCATTCTATTTCAAGGCCTCTCAGTTGCAGTATCCTTAATTGATAATTTCACTCAAAATTGTTCTTTTCTGTTGCCATAGCAGGATATAACAACACAACTATGAAATTTAAACAAATTCAAATTCAGGGATCAGAGTTTCCTTGAGTGGCAGGTTAAACTTTTTCTACAGCAAATGATGTCACATACAGAGTGATAATGGTTAACAAGTTAACAAGAATATAATATTAATAGAACTGTATGAAATATTTCTTTGTTTTTACATAAAAGAGAATTTTACAACTAGTGTCACATTACTCTCTTATTTACTTTAAAATGGTAAGAGAAAAATATTCAGTCTAACTTTGCAATTTTCATAAAAGTTATAAATAATTATTATTATTATAATCATAAGATATCTATTTCTTTCACTGGGCATTACATAGCAAAATTAATATGGTTAAAATATTACCAATCCACTGGACTATAGCTAGCAAAGATTAGAATTACTGGTCTTTATTTATTTTTTTAATGCTAAAGTTAACCCGATACAAAGCTTGAGTGCCACTCAAAGTAGAGAGTTACTTTTAAAATGGTTATAGGGAATGAGGTGTATAATATGAATGAAAGAGGTGGTGGTAGGAAGTAAAGATTATGACGTTAAGGAGGATAGACAATGATTGACCCTTGACTTGAAGAGGTTAAGATTGTAGTATTCAGGGAGGCATTCATGTGGGAGACTGTTCCACAAAGTAGAAGTTATTGGAAAAAGCTGCCTGAGTGAAACTTTCTACTTTGGAACATGTGGGAAATGTGGGTGATTCGACTCCATGGAGGTAGCATGACATGCCCCAGTTGTAAAGGTCTGAATTGGTGGAACTAAAGGATCATCTCTGAACATTTTCCATAGAAATAGCGATAAAATACTGATAGGTATATGATGTTATGTCTGTAAGGAAGGGGTTGCAGAGTGGAGAATATATCTCTCCCCCCTAAACACACAAAACTGAGTAAATGATTTTGAATTCTAGAACAGATATCATGTGAAAAAATTTCAAACTTTTAAAGTTTAAATCTAAACATCTAACTGCTTCTAGAGTTCCAGAACATAAACTGGTGTTCTCTGTTCTATATTAGGTTTGCTAATTCCAAATTTAAATCCTAAAGTATATTACAGTTAAAAAATAAACTGAAAATATATAAAGAGGTATTGAAAATCAAAAATAATTTCTAACATCAAATTCTCAGCATCTCAATAGCTGAAAAGAATTATTATATAAATTTTAAAAAAAAATACTTACTTGGATATTTTCTGGCATACACCTAAAAACATTGTAAATTTGATCTTTAAATCCACGTGAAAGCATTTCATCTGCTTCATCAAGGACAAATATCTTGATATTATTTGTTTCTGGAAAGGAAAATATTTAAAATGACATCAAATCCCTCATTAAAAAAGTATATTTTCATATACGAGTTTAACAAGAAACAGAAAATTGAACACAAGTGTATTGATATTAATTATATAATCTGTAAGAGAAATTAATATTTAATTTTTTAAAATGTCCATCATATTTATCATAGACATTGACTATTGGTCATAACTTCAAAAGTCAAATGTTATGGCAATTTCTTTTTTTTGTTTTTTTTGGAAGCAATGAAACTTTCTGATTAATTTAGAAATTTTAGAGTATATCTTAAATGAAGTTCAATATCTGAAGCTAACATGAAATTTTGGATAAAGTACAAAAAAGTTTTCTTAATGTCTAAGTATAATTTTATTATTTACACTTTTTACTTTGTTCAGACTGTTGGCCTCATCCTATTGCCATATTCACGACTTTCGGCTGTTGTACACTCTGGCCTTCTTCAGATGATTGGAATTTTAAACTGAACTCTTTATTTCATCCACCAGGGTAGATTGTTTTAGTTCCACATGCCATGCCTCTTTTGGATACCTCAGTATCAGTTATTTCCCTTTAACTCATTTTTCCAAGTTTTTGTTCACCTCTGCTGTAGCCAGGTATTTAACACTTTGGGTCAAGTCACTGGATTATTTTAACCAATGCTTTTATCCACTGGATCATGTATCCTTGAGGACAACAGTCTGAACAATGTAAATAGTGTAAATAATTACAATACATCATCTCAGAAATATAGACAGATAGAATTTTATTATAGATTTTTATTGTTATGACCTACCTAAAATTAATTTCACATTTGACAAACTTAATAATTAAAGTTCTCCACCCCTGCACACATGCAAAAAAATTAATAGCAATCTCAATTTTTTATATTAAAGTTCACCCAATACAAGGCTTGAGAGCTACTCAAGATAGAGGGTTACTGTTAAAATTGTTATGGTGAATGTGGAATGTGAGTGAAGGAGAAGATGGTAGGAAATGAAAATAAGGAGGATAGATAATAAATGATCCTAGACTTGAAGATATTAAGATTGTAGCATTCAGGAGAAGCATCCACATGGGAGTATGTTTTACAAAGTCACAGTTCTTGGGAAAAAGCTTTCTGAGTAAAACTTTCCATTTACATTAAGAATATGGAGGAAATGAGAGGGACTCAACTCCATGGATGTAGCACCATGTGTCCAACCTGTAAATGTCTGAACTGGTAGAACTAAAGAATGGAGCTCATCTGAACATTTGCTATGGAATCTTGAGATATTGTATTTGTGGGAAAGAAGCAGCAGAGTGAAAAATAGATCTTCCGCCATAAGATCATGTGAAATATTTTGAACTCTATCAAGGCTGGAATTGTGGGTTGAGCAAATCCAGCCCAAATATGGCAGCAATACTGGCAGCAATACTAGCAGCAATTTTTGGTCTTGTAAAGATAAAGCATGGCAGAAGGAGTCAGGTACTTCCATGAGTGATAGAATGAGCCAATCATTTTCCTGCATCTTTCACAATCAATTGTATATATAAAGTTCATTTGAGATCTGGAGTGAACTTGAGACCCAATTGATATTCAAAGTATGGAACCTTATTGAGAGCATAACCATTCATCATGACTGAAAAAACTCAAGGTTTGATAGGTGATTGATTAAATAAAAGAAAAGTTGTTAATTAAATTTATTTTGTCTTTTAATTTATTTTTTTAATCATATCTTTAAAATTTGGACATGAATAAATTTACTAATATCCTAAAATTTGGATTAAGAATGTTAATTAAATATTAATTTTTATATTTGAGAACAAAATTAATACTCACTCAAATATCCTCTTTGGATCATATCAAGCACACGTCCTGGAGTTCCTACAATAGTGTGTACACCTTGAGAAAGACGTAGTTTATCATCTCTTACATTAGTTCCACCTATACATGCATGACATTGAGCCTGCATATAATCTCCCAAAGCTAAAACTACCTTTTGTATCTGAAATGAAAATTTCAAAATATTACTTTCATTAAGTAACATAAAAATTTGTAATTATACAGCAATAATTTCATTTTGTCATTTAAGCTTAACAAGCTTTGAATTTTAAGTCAAGCCTTATAAGAGTTAGGAACTTAAATAAGCATAAACAAATATTAGTTACTTTTTACAAAGGCTTATTGCTGACTTGGTAAAAAAGCAGCAAAAACTGATAATACATTCAGAAACACAAAAAAAATGTTTGAAAAGCTTGATTTTTCTCCTGATTTAGTAGGTGCCCTGAAAATTTGTCTGACTTCAATCCTGTCAAGAATCTTGGAGTTATGAAGGAGAATATTGAAAATATCCATCTGAATTTACAGAGCATTCTGAATGACAGTTGATATTGGTTATTGATAAAGCTTTAAAGTAACATATGCCCAGAAACATTTTTTACTTGTTTAAAATTATGTTGGATTTCATGAAGGTTTCTGTTAAGAAACAAATTAAAAAAAATATATTGATAATGTTGATTTGATGATGCTTGGGGAAAAAATGGTTTTGTTATGAAACACTGTTTAGTGTCATTTTTGTTGATCTGTTTACAATATTTCCAGAAATATCATAATCCAATTCTCATGTGGGAAATTAAATTCAAATTTCCTTTTATTGAAATACAATTTTTTATTAAAAAAATTTATATTACTTTCTTAAAAACTGACACCGATTTATGTTCAGATTAGCAATGGTATCTGGTGTTGTGTGGGCCAATTCCATTTTCTTTTCCTCTGTTGTGTTACACAAACTTTTTTGTTTGTTTGAGAGATTTGTGTGTGTCATGAAATGGTATTAGTGAGATTTTCATAAAGCAGTTTGATAGCTTTAAACATTTTGGTAGTCATTTATTTTATATTTGGAATATAGATGTCATGCTGTAATGGTAAGCATGATAGCATAGTAAAAGAATATTGGTAAATTTGGACCTTCATGCCTGCAAAAAAACAAAGTACCCAAAGGACGGTTTTTCCCTTGACACTGCTATTATTTTTCCTTGACAATGTTTATTGTTTTAAAAAGTGATGATTAGAATCATAAAACCTAAACATATGAGGAAAATGAATTTATACATTTTTTTATTCTTGAAAATTTACATCAAAAATATTAAACACTATTTATTTATTAGATTGTTTATTTACAAGAAAAATTTTATATTTATAACATTCTAGAAACTAATACAATTAAAACTTATGCAAAGCAATATTTATCATTTACAAATTTATAAAGAAATAAATATGAAAACAATTTTTTATTCATAGATTTTTAAAATTTACTAAATTATTAAAATATGTGAACCAACAATAAGGAAATTCTTATTTATCACTTTATAAAGTTTGAAACAACTGGCAATTAACTGATGTTTTTCATACCATTCCAATAAAAAATAGTAATTGTTTATCTCGCATACCAAGAACTGCTCTACCCTTACTGCTTGGACATTTATATAGTCTATGTCTTAGCTATGCTAATTAGGCAGTCATTTAAATACCACTACAAATCTAATAAATAAATAGTGCTTATTATTTTTGTTGTCAATTTTCAAGAACAAAGAAAATTCATAAATTCATTTTCATATGTTTAGGTTTTATTAAAATTCAAATCATCACTTTTTAAAACAATAAACATTGCCAATGTAGTGAAGGTAGTTAAAATAATAGCAGTGTCAAAGGAAAAAACCATCCTTTTGACACTCCATATTTTTGCAGACATGTTCATCAGTTTGAGTCTCTGTGAAAGATAGAATGCAATGCCCAAGTGCATGCAAAGTTTCTTATACCAAATAAAGCATAAATAATTCTTTTTTCTATTCAAATCTTCTTTTGTTATGCACAAAAGAATCTCATTTGTTTTTAATGATAAAATACTATTCTCTTTAAATAACCTGAATAAAGATAATAAATCCATAAATTAAACAAAACAAATCAATTTACTTATTCTATTATTTTATATGAACAGAACATTAAGAATAAATATTTTGGAAATTAAAATTTAGTTTTGTTAGATTTTTAAAAACTGTCAACATTATTTATTTCTCTTTATTCTTAATCTGTGATCTAAATGATAAGATTGTTACCATTTTTAGAATACCACATTTAGAACAAAAATGACTTTATTTGAATAACTAAGCAATTTAATTTGTAAAAGTCACCAACAAAACAGTTGCTTATTTGTAAAGATAACAAAAGATAAGATTGGAAATAAATAATAAAAACATAATTATTTTTTAAAATTTGATTTTTAATGCTGAATTTGCAAATTAGTTATTGCCATAAAGAAAGTTGGACAAGACACCAGGCACATACTGATAGATATAGACATGATAGAGCTGTGTTTATTTGATGTCACAGTTTTTATATAATATTTGTATATGTACACAAACATATGGACAGACTTTATATATTTGAATTTTATTAAATAAAGAACGAGTAGGAAAACTTTCATAAATTTAACATGTTCAGCAATTTATTTAGCTAGCCTTAGCAAGTAACTATTTGTTAGCATAAAAATGGAATATATAAAAATTTAACTTATTTAAAACCCCTTTCTCACAGACAAAACATTACAAGCCTCTTTCTGCTCCATCACTATTTCCATGGAATGTATACAGGCAAACTACATTCCTTAGTCCCAAAAGTTCTAACTTTCACAGCTAAGATCCGCCATACCACACACTGCTGCAATCCACCTTCATTCCCTTCATATTCCATTGCTGAAATGTAGGTTTCACTCAAGCAGCTTCTTCCAACAAACCACTGCTTTATGGAACCCTCCCAAGAAGATGCTTCCCCAATTAATACAATCTTAACCTGTTCAAGTCTAGGGTTAACTGTTATCTTCACAACATATTCTTATAAACTGTACCTCTTACTCTGTAACCCTCTACCTTGAATAGCTCTTAGGCCTTGTACTGGGTGAACATTATTAATAAAAAAAGCTCCATAGTAAAAAAAAATGTTAAATTTATAAAGGTTTTCATACTTATTCCTTATTTAATTATCTTGTTGGATTTAATTCATATTTTCAACTTAAATATTTAAGTTTATATATTTAACATATATTTTATATATTTAATTTCCAGGATTTTAAGAAGGCACACAATAACTTTGGGCTTTATATATGAGATATATACATTCAAATGTGGTTTCAGAGCAGATGATGCTAGGTCAAAAGGATAAGAAGGAACAGAGACCAGTATTAATTTCATTCATATTGGAGTTTTTTTGTTTAGTATTCAAAACATAGTCTTGATTGTTTTTCAAAGCAAGTAATGTTAAGTGGTCTGTTGTTTTTTATTAGGAGTGCTACTAATATCATCAAACATGTTTTTTACAACTAGGCGTTCTTAATATGACAGTATTATCTACAAGGTTTTTTTCTATGTGCGTAGGGAGTTAGGTGTGAATGTTTAAGAGAACTAAGATCACTCAAGTGGTTGATTAGACACCTGCTTAAAGAGCTAGTTGTGTTTATTCAATTTTAGTATTATCTTCATTTTCAGGTTCACAGCATGCAAAGAACAACTAAACTTATAACTAATGTTCATAGTTTAGACTTTGTATTCCATAGGCATGGTGTTATCAGTAATTATCCAGTTGAAAGTTTTTAATTTTCTGTAGTACATTGTATGCTTTACATGCTTAGTAATGTCTGTGTGTGTGTGTCGTGTATACATACATGCATATATATATATATATATATATATATGACGAAATATAGTCTTAAGGTGTACTATATTTATGCAATAAAGTGCTCAATATCAGAGATAGAGCATGTGAATATAAAAGTGAACATTGAAGTCAACACTTAGAGGCGACTGTTTCATGCTAGATGCAATTGTCAGACCATTTATATATATATATATATATATATATATATATATATATATATATATATATATATATATATATATATATACACACACACACACACATACACACATGAACAGATGAACAATGTGAATATAAAATCAACACTGTATGGTGACTGGCAGTTTCACATCTTAAGCAACCATGATTGCTTAAAATGTGAAACTACCACTCATCATAAAACACAGATTTTATGTTCACAGTTTATATCTACATATGCTCTAACCAAAATATTGAGCATTCTTATCTCATAAATATAGCAATTTTGAAACAATACAATATTATATATATATATATATATATATATATATATATATATATATATATATATATATATATATATGTATGTATGTATATATATATTGACAGAAAATAAATTTGTAATATGCTGAAGGACAATAGTAATTTATTTTGATTTGGGTACACTATGTGTCTGCTAGTGGGTAATATGTATTTTGATAAACTTTGGACATCTTATGATGTAGCAACACCTACACCAGTCTTTAGACACCATTTCATGTTATGAGAAGGTTCAGTGTATTGAAAGTGTCCAATGGCTAGCAGATGTCATTTCACAGAGATGCATTGATAATGCTTCAATGTTGTAATCAGTGACCAAATAAAAATGAAAATTTACACTCCTAGACTAGGTTCTAGACAGCCATATAGTACAGTAGGTTGGCAAGATTTCATTGTAAGGGTAGCAATGGTAGACTGCATAGTGTATATAACACAGATCAAATCAGATCAAAGGTTCTACCTTCATGTGATGATCATTTGCATTTGTGACAGAAACTTGGGGAGTAACATTGTTCAGAGTATATTCACCCATGATATAGAAGACCCACCTCTGGATTCATGGAATGTGAAGTTACATCTCTCAGTAACTTTTATTTTTGGAAGAAACATTGAACAGGGGCATATATATTCAGAACATTGTTCAACCCATTCTGCTGCCATTTATGCAACAGGAAGATGATGTGCTGTTCCAGTAGGATAATGCCTGCCTGTACTTTTGTACAAGGTTTTTCACAATTTCCTTAGCCAATATGATTGTTGGATCTTTCCTCCATTGAACATGTATGGGACATGATAGGATTATGCATGACTCACTCAATTAATCCATATACTACTTTTGTTGTACTATATTAACAGATGCACAAAACTGTAAAATAATTTATCACAAGTTGTTTTTTTCTATCTGTACATGCATATGAGAATTCAGACTTTTCTTAATACCTAACAAGGATATACAGTGGATTAATATAGGTACTGTTAACATATCCCTTATTTTGGAACATGCGATTATTGATTGTAATCCTGCTACATTACCTACATGTTTAATGTTGAGTAAATTGAAAAACATTTTCAAAGTGTTGCAACCTTATTTTCTATAAGTGTATATAAAATTGGATGATATTTATAGACAAGTAAAAATATTCAAAAGGGGTTTAAAACAGATAATTTTTTAATTTTTTTCAGTATAGTTAATTTTTTAATTTTTTCAATATAGTTATTTTAATGAACAATTATAAATAACACTGAGAATACATTTACAAAAAAAGTTAAGTGATACATCAGGCTAGAATGTATTGAACAATTATAGTTGCATGTATGTGTTTATTATAATTATGAGATAAGAAACTTTTCTTACTGCACTACCTCCATGAACTATATTTTCTTCTCTAAGACATAAAAATAGATAAGGAATCAAAAATCAAAAGAATTTAGTTTAACCTATTGGGCAGCATTTAAGCTAGCTCCTGTGGAGGGCCTTAATTAGGCCTTCATCACAATAGGTAGAGAGGAGTAGATGCGATAGGCAACAATAAACTACAGAAGAACTCAAAATTGATCTCTGCATTTAAGTATTGTATTAATATCTAAGCTTATCTTTTAAAAGTTCAACAATAATTTTCTGTTGCAACTTAATTTGATGTATGTAGGTCCTTACTTTCTGTACAAACAATTATTTTTATTTCATAGGTTACTTTTGCTGGATTTCGCAATTAATTTGAATTATTCCCAAATTTATTTCCAAGTTATAAAAATTGCTATTGTACAAAAAATTTGTTACAAAAAATCATGTAAAAAAATTGCCAAAAACAAATCACAGTAATGAAAACTTGGGAAGCCAAAATTTCTGTAACATGAGCTATTGAAAGTTAGAGAGTTGTGTTCCCTTAATTGAAAAAGTGTGCCACAGTGACACTGACATTTGCATTTATTATATAGATGAATAACATAAACCTAAAAACATGAACTAGTGATGTTGAAACCCTGACTTAATTGTCATGTAATGTTTCAAAAAATATTTCATAAGCTTTCAAACTATTATTGAAATCATTTAAACAGAATTTGTTTTTTATGCAGATTTTATTTTAGGTGTGGTTGAAATGTTTCCCTTTCACTGAAGTTTATTTTTGTATACAAATAAAATACATTGATTTTATAAAAAAAAAACTTTATTGAAGTCCCTTTTAGAAACTAATTTTATGTGTTTTGGGAGAAAAAATGCATAATTCTTAAAATTAAACAAAAAAATTAAAATTAAATAAAAATTAAGAAATTGCTACAGCTTAATTTAAAAAAATAATTCAAAAATAATAAAAACCATGACAGACGTTTTTATTGGTAGTATTCCTTAAATTGAAAACATGACAACTCACTATGAGTGAAATAAATGCTATCATATCTAACTGTACTACTGTAAGCAAAACCTTACAAGCTGAAATATGTATCAGTTTCAAATAAACTGCACAGTGTTGATAAGCCATAAAAAAACAAATCAATCTGATAGTACAGTTACTTAAAGATTTTTAATGATAAAGTTGTTTTTAATCTATGTCGTCATTTGATATTTATCATAATGTAATCTAAAAATATATAAAATTCGTTTGTAATATTGTCAGCATTCAATAATTGCTCCCAAAATTTAAACAACTAGATGCTAATTTAGCAGTGGATGTAATTTGAATCTAATAAATGTAAGTCATATATTCCAATCAACATATCAATAATTACAGTTTCTTAGTAGATTCATGTACTTAAAGAAGAAATTTATTTAATTCAAAACTTTAAATTTTTCAAACTTTTGTTAAAGGATTTGGTGGATTAATTTTCACCTTAGCCAAGAGTATATATACTATAACACCTCTGTCTCATAATAAAGGGTGTTCCAATAACTTGGACTGATTTTAAATGTGAATTAAGTTTAAACATCCAATAATTTTTTTTCTTTTTCTTTCAGATTTAACAGCTTAAGTCTTTGGCAATTTCAACCATGGAAAGATCAACAATCAAAGAACATGTTAAAGTTATTGAAGCCTATTATGATAATGGACATTCAAATAGAAATGCATTTTGCACACTTTGCAATTTTTTTGGACAACATAATCGACTAACTGAGAGTGCAATTGAAAAATTGTTCATACATTCAAACAAACTGGGTCAGTGGCAGATGTGAAAACACAATTGTGTACTCGTTTATGCCGCTCAGCTGAAAACATTGATGCAGTGCACAAGAATGTGGCCAAAAATCCAGACACCTCTATTCGTCATCACGTGCCGGAATTGAATCTCTCCACAACAATATTACATCAAATTTTGACTAAAGATTTGTCAGTGCACACTTACAAAATTCAATTGACACTGAGACCCGCTGATCATTTGGAGCACCGTACATTCATCAAGTGGGTGCATGAGCAAAGACAAGCCAATGAAGATTTTTTGCAAAAATCCTCTTTAGTGACAAAGCCCATTTTCATCTTGGTGGATTCATTAATAAGCAGAATTTTCACATTTGGGCTGATAAAAATCCAAAGAAGATTGTTGAAAAGCCACTGCATGCACAAAAGGTTTGGTGTGTACTTTTTGTTAGTGGAATCATTGGGCTGTATATTTATAAATTTGAATGTCCATTTTTGTAATAGACTTTGAGAACTTTAACACGTTCTTTGATTGTTAATCTTTCCATAGTTGAAATTGCCAAAGACTTAAGTGTTAAATCTGAAAGAAAAAGAAAAAAAATCATTAGATGCTTAAACTTAATTCACATTTAAAATCAGCCCAAGTTATTGGAACACCCTATACATATTCACATATTTTTTATATACTACTTCTGTACTATAATAGTTACATTTAGTGTATAAAATATAAGAAATACAAAATAAAAAAAATAAAAAAATATCAAGAGAAGCAATAAAGAAAACCAGTTTTCACCTGCTGAGCCAATTCTCTGGTGGGTGCTAACACTAAAGCTTGGCATTCCATTAGATCTACATTGAGTTGCTGCAAGATGGCAATAGAGAAGGTTGCTGTTTTACCTGTTCCTGATTGTGCTTGGGCAATTACATCACAACCTACAATACACAGAGTCACTTGATAACAAATATATACTTAGCTATCAAATCAACATAAAAAAAAAGTAATAATAACATCATAGAAATTAGTGGTGGTGGAAGGGAATGGGTAAAGTGATGCTGAAAAGTTCTTAGGCTAACCAAAATAAAGTTCTGAATTTCTTCATATTTTGTGAAAGTAGTTGATTGGATCAAAAACTTTTCTGAACTATCTTGTATGTGAAACAAAAACTTGTTTAAACATATTACTCCAATAGTTTAATTTTGACAGTGAAATGAATTAAAAAGAATCAAAATTCAAAACAAAACTAGTCACATAAAAAAAGAGAAAATTCACTTTTTGATAACTGTAGATAATATTTAAATGTTTGGTTACAAAAATCTTGAAACCATAGCTTTAAGCTACATTATAGCTCATCTTAATTAGTGTTATACTCCACTGCAATTAGATCTCTTAGTGATTCATATTACATGTTGACAGGATGTGAACATTAAAAAAGCAAAACGCAAAATAAAAAAGTTGTTTTCTGCAAAGGGGCTCCAAGCATCCCATCTGGTCTATGAAATAAACCCCACAACAAAATACAATAGCCAATGAAAAACATTTTCACCAGAAAAAGATGACCTTGGGATCCAGCAGGTTTGCTTTAAAGAAAGCCCTCTCATAAGAACCAACACAGTTGTGGACTGAAAGTCCATCTGTCAGTACACTGACATGCTGTTGATGTCATTGCTTTGATATATTCTTTCATCATAACCATGACCTTGCCCTAGTTTCACTATCTCATATGACTCTTCACATACAGAATAGAGTTGACAGGCCAACTTCAACACCAGCAGGTATCTGATGCTAACCACTGTGATTTCTAACACCCCAATGTTCACTATTCACTCCAGGCCCCCCATCGTCATCACCATTGTGATCTCAGCAACCAACACACCTTACCACAAATCAACCCACCAAAATGATCTCAGTCGATCAACCTACCTTACCAGGCAGTTCGGCTTCATCATCTCGGCATCACACAACCACCACTCCATCAAACACCTCACAGGTGTTGATTTCAACCATTAAGAAAGGCATATATTAAAGCACACCAATGGCTAATCAATTCCAGACCTATCTTCTGACACTAACTGTGACCTCAGCCAACAAACCCAAGAAATTAGCCTTACACCTGATCACTTTCCTTACCAAAAGTAACTGAAGAATCATTTTTTGCCAAATTTCAAACAACTATGTATATATTCAGAATTTTGACAAATACATGCTGTTGAAAATTTAATCTTTGTTTGTTCCTTTCCTTTGCAACCAAATGCTCATTATAACATTAGGATACCTGTGAAGGTACTAGCAAAGTACCTAATTATGTTATTCCTATTTGAAGAACCTACTCTTTTAAATAAATATCTTCAGAATGGAGGCATGTAAATAAACCAGAGTTAAAGAAAATAACAGTTAAAGCAAATCAGCTCAAATTTTAAATGTTGCTAAAAACTAAAGTTTCTCAGCAAAATAAAGAGGAACTTAGAAGAAAATGATTATATTATACTCTGCTTTAAACTAGATCTCCTTCAGATTCACTCTACATCAAAACCTGTTGGCTGAATGTAAACACAAAGAAATAAAAATACAAAAGTTGCTATCAGGGGCTCTTAGCATCACATCTGGTACACAAAACAAATCCCTTAAAAAAATAGAATTTAAAAGTGCCAATCATGAACACTGCAACTAAAGCAATAACATGATAAAAACAGTGTGTCATGATCCACCCTGGCTACTTTTAAGAATACTACTCATGACATTGTTGTAATTGTGGTGAGTGGACAAGCTGTTAATGTCACCACCAATGATCTTGGTCAACCTGCTCAACACATGCATCAACTCCAAGTCCTACTAACTCTCCACACCCTCCAAGTCCACAAAGAGATATTCCACCTTGATCCTCTATATCGACAATATAATTTATCTTAAAAATCTTGTCTTCTTTTCTTTTCACCTCACCAGAAGTACTTGTTTCATTTGTTCTCTCATAGGTGCATTTATAATGATTATTTTAGATACCTGTGCATGCACTAGCAAAGTACAAGCCACACATTATTAGGTGTAATTATATTCATTCACAACAGTCCTTAATGAAATTGTTAATCAACATGACTTAGAAGACAACAGTAAGGATGTGGAGTAATGTTTGGGGTTATTGGTGTGGGTGATAAAATTATAGGTCCCTTTAAAGATGATGGTATCAAGAAAAATGCAAAGAATTATTAAAAGTTCTTAGATAAGATATTTTTTAGCACTACTATTATTGTTTGCATAATAAAACTTGACACTCCCAAAATAAATTATTATAAATATTATCTAATAAGACTGAAACTTGCATGATATATTGCTCATCTTGAAAATTTTACCAACATTGGTTGAAAATGTTATTGTGAAAATATTGATTTGCATAATAAAATGTGTGTATAATTAAAAGAAACTGCTAATGTAGAGATAAGTAACTCAAACTATATGCATTAATGTCCAAATTGAATTTTAGAAGTTTGCATTGTTTTATTTTTACCCAGATTTTAAAAAAGAGGTTATGGTTTGGTCTTGAATTAACATTAAGATTAAAAAAAAATGATGATCTAATTTTTTTAAAATTAAACTTTTTTTATTCTCTTTTACATTATCATTTTCAGTTGACTACTATATGTGGATTAGACAAACTTTGGTTTCATAGGTGTGTTATGGCCTTGGAAACTATTGCAATACAGATAACTAGAAAATACTCTTAATGAAATTTATGACTACCCAACCATACAATATTCTTATAAATATTACAATTTTTATTGTTCTGGCTTTTGTGATTAATTGATTGTTGTCTTTCAAGTAAGAATATGAAACTTATATTGTATAATGCATGAAAAAATATTTAATAAGTTCCTTCTTGAAAGTTGCATAATTTGAAAGAGGCACAGATAATAAACAATAAAAAAGGAATTTGCTGGTTGCATAAAACCAGAGTTGTTAATTTTCTTACTTTTCTCAGATATTGTCAGTTTTTAGAATACTGTCATTGTTTACAATATTTTCTATTCTTATGGTTACAATGTTTTTAAATAGAAACATTATTAAAAATTAACTAACAGATTATAGTATATTCTTTTAAATTTAAATGATTCAAATTAATAAAAAGATATTATTTTATTGGGAAAAATTTCCAGTTTATCTTAAAACTGAAACATAATTAATTTATTCATTTTCATGGCCATTCAAAAATGATTAATTTAACCAATATTGTTTATTTTATAATTCCATAGTAGGTAAAGTTAATTGACACATCTTTTCTTGCAACATAGATTATAAATTTAAAAAAATTATTGATATATCCTGTGAAGATAAAGTTCTTCTCCAACAGATGTCTTTGTGTAATCTATGAAATACAAGTGTAGCATCTTTGTGCATCTCTTAAATGCTTGTTCTGACAGCATTCTGACCTTAAAAATTGCATTTCTTGTTCCAGTGTCCTATAAAAAGCAATGCTGTTCTTTATTTCTGGTTTGATTCAATGATGAGCTATTCATTAGAATCTTATTTATTATGTTGCTCATTAAACTGATTGTTCAATGAAGTTCAATTTCATTCACAGTTGGTTTTATTGGGGGCACTATAAAAATTAACTTATTTAAATCTTCCAGTATTTTGCCACTATTGTATATTTCATTTATCACTTTGGTAATCTTATTAATCCTAAAGTATCATAGGTTGTCAACATTTCTATGACAATATTGTCTGTTCCATTAACTTTGTTTATGTTCATGTTGGCCATTGTTGTCTGTATTTTAGATTTTAGTATCTTAGGTCAGGGGTCCGCAAGGACAAGATAGGGGGTCTGTGGACAGCAAAGACTTTTTTATGGGTGACGTGCAACTTATAATGAACTGGAAGAACTGGCGGAAATTTTATGCGACAGAACTTTAAAAATCAGTTTTATGCAGCAACAGCTTTCGAAATTCTGTCTCACTGTAGCCTCCGAGTATCCATTGTTATCTTGAAAGGCAGTTAAGATTTTGTTACCGTTTGCAACAACATATTTATGCGAAGCAGGATTTTCGGCACTAATCAATCTGAAAAACAAATACAGATCCAGACTTTCTCCAGAAAGTGACTTACGTGTATGTTTATCAGTAATATCACCAAGAATTGACAGTTTGTGCAAAGCCAAGCAAACACATCCTTCTCACTAAGTGTGTATTAAAAAATCCTGTTTGTGTAATTGACAATAAAGCTATATGTTAAATACTATTACTGTTTTCATTTACATGTAAAATTAATATTTTAATATAACAAAATTTAATTCTGTTACATTTTGCAACAACATGCAGCATTAATTTATTTGAACACTTATGTCTAAAGTAAGCTTTAAACCAGCTTTTATTGCATTCATGCAAAATTATATGTTATATTCAGCAAATATTTATGTATAAATTTCATAAGCGTTTATAAGGGGTCCCTAAGGTAAAGCCTGAAATATAAAAGGGTCCACAAGTCAAAAAGTTTGAAAACCCCTGTCTTAGGTTCTTCCATGCTTTTATATATTTTATCTTTCTCTCTTTTGTTGTCATGGAATAAATTCTCTTATGTATTCAATTCTACCACTGAAGTACCTTTTCTTTATCCATAATGATTATTCCATCTTTAAATTTTATACATGATATGTCCCGGAAAGGGATATATTTGAAAGAAGTAGCAAAGTGGTTTTGGCTACTATAACCAAGTAGAATACGGTAGCAGTAATCAACTAGTCACAGGTAAGAAGTATAGATCAATGGTGTAGTCCAATGGGCATTGTTATAGACTTAGCTCTCAGACTAAGGCTCTTGACTCTCCTACACATCCGTCGGTATTTATGACAGACACCAGCCAATCATATTCCAGTGAGGGGGAACAGAGGTGTACGCATATTCCATTATATCAATACATCCTGATAAAAAGAAGGTTTTTTTCTCTCGTTATTTCTTTAATTTTTTATTCATTCTCACTCTCTCTGTGTCCTTAAGTTCTTTTTTCTTTTTATCTCTGCACATTTCTTATTTAGCCATTCCTCCTTAACTTGCTTTCCCTTATATCTGGTGGTTTTGTTTAGCCTGTTGTGACACTACTTGTAGTTAGACTAAAAGCAGTGGCAACAATATTTGAGTGTAAGGAAATGGAATAAATTTAAACAAGGTGATATTTTATATTTTGGTTTTTATATAATTGAGTAAAAAGAGAGAAAATATACTAGCATGCCTGCAAAAACAAGAAGATATTACAAGTTAGGAATTATGTGGTTGATAAATGTGTGTGTGTGTGTGGAAAGATTCACTTACTAAAGAGTGAAGATATCCCCATGAACGGGTTAATCTGTAGTTGTTCCATTTCTTGTTTTGCATCTTCTAGTTTTCCACATTCATGGAATGTCCTAACCAGGGCTGGCATGTACATCCCTGCTTGTTGATCCTTGTTATCTTATCAACATTTGCTTTTTTCTAACTACATTTATATATATTACAAATTAAACTAAGAACAATTGACTATTAAAGGATGAAAATTTTTTTACAGAGTAGCGACTATCTGTTTCATGTCTGAATGCAATCTTCAGGCCTGAAGATTGTGTTCGAGCATGGAACAGACTATCACCAATCAGTGTTGACATCAGTGTCCAAACTTCTTATATTTACACATACACTATCCTGGATATTGAACACTTTCACCCTATAAATATAGCATGCATTGAAACTATATTTTATCATATATCTATCTATCTATATATGTATTTCTATCACTTTAAATGTTATTTTTACTGGACACTGATATTGGATTAGACTCTTCATTTATTCATTAAATAGTATATTTATTTATTTTTGTCTACCAGCCTGAGCCTCCTTTTCATCTATGAGAGAATGCATATTTTTTTTAATGAGATCTCTCAAATATTCAAGCTGTTTAATGAATAAATTGAGCATCTACTCAAATATATTAAGATAATAGTCATCTCTTTTTAGCCATATCATTATATTTCACTATCACATTGCTTATATACAGATGCAGTCATTTAACAAATCATATTAGTATATTTAAGTGAAATCAATGTAAAAATTTTAAAAGCAATATTCAGACCAGAAAATGTAAATTAGATATTTTTTATTAAACAGCAATTATAATATTAGCCGAATTATATCAACATGAAAGGATTTGAAGCTGTTTACCTTTTATACAAGGAACAATAGCTCTCTGTTGGATGAGGGATGGTTTCTCAAAACCATAGGCATAGATTCCTCGTAATAAGCTCTCACACAAATCCATGCCATCAAAAGTATCCACAATTTCATCATAGTTGCACTGAAATTTAAAATAAAAGAAAAAAAAATAAAGCATAATAATTTTGTTTCATATCTATATTTAATATCAGCTAATTTAATAACAGGGTGTGCAGTCAGAGATTTGTCACAGCACTCGGTTGTAACTGGTTGGTTTGCTGCACAAGATATAACTCGATGGATTGAGGAATACGTAAGTATCAGCCAATTGCACCATGCCAGGAAACAAGTGCCAACATGGCCAGTAGATTTATCTGCCCTTCACTTGAGCAGAGATTAAGCCTTTCTAGTTCCACCTGTCTGTGATCAGCAATAGTTGGTGCCAAATTCTGTCATTGTGACCCTGCAGAAAAATCAATGAAATCAATCTCATGCACAGTGTGGCAACCTTTTGCTTCTGGTTGATGATTACGGTCAAGTGTTGATGGTTGGCTTGAGAGTGAAAAAAGTTCTTTGATAAATGAACCAAACATGTTCTGTAAACATTGTCGAGTAAATAGTACACTCCTGGTGACTATATGAACTAGTCTGAAACTATAAATAAAGAGCTCCAGGTCAGCGGTAAAAGGAAAAAGAAGTTGTTTGGAGTCAGTTTTCAGACTGATTAATATAGGCCTCATGGCAAATAGCCAAAGCATTACTTATATTATAAGTGCTACAAAGCATGTTATAACAGTAAACTTAACAAAATTTAATGTGAAGAAGGTTAAGTTCTAGAGGTTATTGGTATCTCTGCAAGAGTGTGCTGAACAAGAGCAAGTCCTTAATCCCTCCTCTATTCAATTAATTCAAAGTGCTGACATCTGCAGCAGATAAGGTTGAATGCTTTGCTTGGAAATTCACTTCCAACTCAACACTCAACTCATTTGGAGTACCCACACCTGATTTCAACTGTAGAACAGAGTCTCTACTGAGTGATATGCATGTATCCCCATCACTAGTCTTGGACATTATTTCTAAATTAGACTCCCATAAGGCAAGTAGAGGTGACAAGATCCCAGCTGTTGTCCAAAAGAAATGTGCTCCCAAGCTGGCTCCAGTTCTCTCAAAACTCTACAACTATTGCTGTGCTACTTCCTGTTTTCCTGCTTGTTGGAAGTCCTCCTCTGTAGTTCCTGTTTTTAAGAACTCTGGAGACCCTTCTGACCTCTCTAACTATTGCCCTATTACCTCTTTTCGGCAAAGAATTCAAAGATTTAATCAATGCTGAAATGCTGAAATGGTTAAGCATCTTACCTCTCATGACCTACTCTCTGACAAACAATATGGTTTCCGTTTTGTCCTAACAACCATCACTTAATATATATATCATGCTCTTGATAATAACAGTGAAGCTCAAGCTGTGGCTCTAGATATCTCGAAGGCATTTGACAGGGTTTGGCATGCTAGTCTTCTACATAAACTCCAGTGCTATGGTATTAATGGATGAATGTTTGATTTAATCCAACCATGCATATCAAATCATGAATGGGCTCACTTCAAGATCCTTTCATATGAACATGAAGGTCCCCCAAGGCTCTATTCTGGGTCCTACACTATTTCTGATCTTCATCAATGATTTTCCTGATGTTATCAGTTTCCAAGTAGGCATTTATGCTGATGACACTATCATTTACTCCTGTCTCAATAGCAAATCCATCAGAGCTGACAAAGTTAACCTGACTGCTGCTCTTGAAAAGCGCCTCCAATCTGTGGAAATGACTCGTAAATTTGAATGCCTCCAAAATGAAACTGCTCTCATTTAACCACCATAGAGAAACTTTCTTGCCTGCCATCAGCATGGCTGATGCTAGACTCATGGAGAGCAAAACACTGCACCTTCTTGGCCTCACATTTCCAAATGACTTTCAGTAGAAAAACTACATTGAATCAATAGCTGCATCTACTACAAGGAGAGTTGGGTCACTGTGTCGTGCCAGAAAATTTTTCTCATTAAAGTCCATCTTGCACATTTGCAAATCTACCATTCATCCATACATTGAATACTGTTGCTATATCTGGTCAGGTGCTCCAGCTACTCATCTCAAGGTTCTTGACAAAAACCAAAGAAAGATCTGCAATATAATCGATTCTGATTTGGCATTTCAACTCCAGTCCCTTTCTCACTATCATTACGTGGTTCCCTTTGTCTTTTCTACAAATATTTTCATGGCTACTATGCTGACAAGCTTTTTTTTCCTGGTTCCTGGACTATGTGAGTTTAAGTGTGCTATTAGATTGACATCTAGATCCCACCCTTTTACTGTTGAATTAGTTAAATGTAACCACCAATTCTACTCTAACAGTTTCTTTTCTTGCACTTTCCACCTGTGGAACTCCCTTCCATTTGCTTGCTTCCCTGATAACTAAAATTTTCAAAAATTTAAATACAACATCAATCACCATCCGCTATCTTCTTTACCTCTGTTGAGCTTTTATCCTTTCCTCAGTCCCCCATTTACCCAGTTTTTTCTATCACCTCACTCTCTGTAACCCCTTGTGTATTAGTGGCATTCCCACCTTGCTTGGGGTCAAATGATTAAAAAAAGATAAGTCTATAGAATTTGCCTTCTATGAAATGGTGCCTGTGGGTTCTCTCTATTCACTGTGTCTGTGTATTTGGCAAGATACAAGCTCATTTGCTTCCCTCACAGAAAATGACTGCTAAGCAAAATGCATGCTGACTTATACGAGGAAATCTTTCCCTCGATAACAATGATTAATGACTTCACTTTACCTACCCAGGCTTTAGAAAATGACAATTTACAATGCTCATAGTTCACATTTCATTATCTCCATATTTCCATAAATTAACCAGCTTGCTCTTGGAAATCCAAAATAATTAGAATTATAAAAATTGCAGACGATTGTTGCAGAAAAGGAACATCTGGTTTCTCTCTAGTCCTCAGCTTCAAATTAATTTCGCTCTTACCAGTTTTCAAACCTTGTACTAACCCACTTCAAACAAATACTGTGGCTATCCAGGTGGAGTTCATAAAAACATATCCAAGTGCCACCTATCAGCACAACAAAACCCATTATGACTGTAAGTTATTTTGCACTAATATCTGCATTTGAAAATACATTAATCTTACTTTATCAGCTATCAACATAACATCACATTTCCTTCTTCCAATTTCTGGTCCAGCATTTGTGCCTTCCTGAAGCCAGATTTGAATTTGTCAAGCCATATTTTAATTTTCTGTTTATTTAAATTTTAACCTTCAAAGTGCCATTTCTAAACTTCTACTTATAAAACATTGATTTCAGGATTGTTATCTTGTTACAATTTGAATTTTTGAAGATTAAAAACATGCCAAACCACAAAACTGATGCAACAAACATTATTAGAGATGTTCAATATTTAACAAACAGGACTTTAAATTTATGATTCAAAAAAACAGTTATCAAGTAAATCTATGCTACTATTTTTATTTATCACCAATTCAATTAAGATATTAACATCCCCAATTAAGACAGAGCAAAAATCATTATTACTTTAAGGAACTATGATGATATAGAAAGCACAATGCAAAAAAAAAAATCTATTTAATATGTATTTCTTTTCTTCACCTTAATAATGACAGCTAAGCAATGTGACATGGAATCTTCAAGAGTCATTGTTTTGGTATGTCTATCCAAGCATGTTCCAGGACTGTCCATAAATGAGTTGTATTTGTCAGGTGTGATTGCAGGAAATTTAGTAAGATCAGTGACATGTCTCATACATACACATATATAAATTTGTGAAGCACAGAGGCCAATAAGCAGTCAGTTCAATATTCCTAAAACTAGTTCCATATCACCCACACATGATGCATTATCTATCTTGCTGAAGATCTGCTAAAGATATGTGTGTTATACTTGTCAAGAAATCAGGATCCAGTTTAACTGGCAGTCCTTTTGAATTCCAACAGGGCACATTTATATTGATTTGGCAACTACAAAGCATTCTCCTGTGCTATTTACTTTAAAGTAATTAATTTCTGATTTCTTGAGATTGGTAAGGATATCATTCAGAATTAATAATTATTTACATTATTTATACTCAGACTATTGTCCTCATCTTTGTTGTTATTATCACAACTTCATCAGGTGCTTGTCAATCCTGTTAACCTATATGGAAATTCAAACTGAACCATTTATTTAATCCAGTAGACAGAGAATAACACTGGAGCCTCCTTAGTTGGCCTAGCATAGAAATAAATGCAATATGTAAACCATTAAATATAGAAACAGATATGACAGCAAGGCTTCAGTAGCAGCAGTAAGAAAAGAGAAGCCTAAGTGAATGCAGTCAATCATGACAAGCAGCAATATCAACTGCAGATAGAGAAGGTTTAAAGCTCCATGAGAGAGCATTGGTGCATGAATTTGGTGATATAGTAATTGTGAATTCAATCCGTGTAGGGTAGTGCAGACTAAAAATCAGTGGGAACAGAGCAAATAATAACTGTGCAGTTCTAAATAAGAACTAGATAAGATATCCTAGACATGGCCAGCAGAATGAGAATAATCTTCTATAGATTAAATAAAAGTTTGAAATTCCTTGAAGTTTATGTGGATTGGCAAGGAGCTGATGAAGGCTGGAAGGCAGAACAGTTGAAATGTTGCAATACTAAAAACAAAGATGAGAACAATGGTCCAAGTGTAAATAATGTAAATAATGATGACTCCTCATTACAGAAATTTAGACAGAATTAATAAATTGAACAAAATAATATGATAATGAAGTGAGGTAGCAACAATTATGTAGTGACTAGAAATTTTTTTAAATTGGCAAAATTTTTAAATTTTAAATTGACACTTCAGCTTTCAATTTCTTTTAATTAACTACACTACTAACTTGAATTCTGCTTTCTATTTAAAAAAACTGAAATTTTCATCATTAGAAGTATTTTGTTTTAATGTCATTAAAAGATCATTCATGATTATAGTGTTAAAGTTAGTGTTATCAGCATGCATTTTTAAAATACTTTGTCAAAATTAGTGTATTTTTATTTACATTGATGATGGAAGAAAATAACCAACATTTTCAGTATATTATGTTATTTAAGAAAAATAAAAATGCAAAAATACTTTGTGTAGTTTATGGACAGGGTACCATGAATAATCAAACAGGTCAAAAGTGGTGATATATATACTCATTAAATTGTGTCTACCCTGAACTCTACTAACATTCTATCTTAATTCTTTTGTTACTTAATGTAACTTAATGTAATTTATTTCCCTTGATCAGGTAGAGGGTTTATAAAGTAAGAGGCACAGTTTATGCAGATAGGTGGGAAAGATAATGGTTAATCCTAGACTTGAACAGGTTAAGATTGTAATTATTGGGAAAACATCCTCCTGGGAGTCAGTTCCCCACAACAATAGTTTGTGGGAAGAAATTTTTTGACAAGTATAAATTTATACAGTTGTTGAAGATAACTTACTTCAAACATGGGAAGCCTACAAATGGATTAAAACCTGTGGCTGAAAAAGTGTGAGCTGTGAAACAAGCTTCAGCACCAGCAAATCTCAAAGCATTTCTCAATTTAGTGAATTACTATGTTAGGTTTGTACTAAATATGGTGCACTTATTGAAACTACAGAACTGCTTACTATATAAAGACACAGTGTAGAAATGGACTAAACTTCAAGAGAAAGTTTTCTAAGCCAAACAAATGCATTACCAGTATTTGTGCTCTTTGACCTGTCTGCTTACTTATTTTGGCCTGTGATGTATCTCCACATGCCTTGAGATGGAGACAAACACACAGTAAGTTTTTTGTAAAGAAGCTTGATCTCAGCAGAAAGAAATTACTCCTCAATTGAAAAGGAAGCATTAGCCATGGTGTTCAAGGTAAGACAAAATTCCACATGTACATGACAGTCATTTTTACAAAGTATATAGACAAGAAAGTCCATGTTGCATATTCAAGAAATAAAAAATTTGGCATAATGCAAACAAGAGTAAAAAACACTTTTGTAATCATGTAGGTCCAATTATCTACATGATTACTGTTGTAGCATACCTACACATGATAATGAGTATGTCCCCATTCACATAAATACAGTAGTAAATACTGTATTTTGGTCTGCAGTTGGAGATTCATTGTGGAATTCACTTCACTCACTTCTAGCAGTTGACTACTTCTTCTATGTGAATCTTATTGTATTGTTCTTGTCCTAAGTATTATCGTTCATTACTAAACTTTGTGTGATTATTCTATTCAATAACCTTTGCTAGGTTGTAACAATTACAAAAGAAAAGTGTTTTTTACTCTTGTTTGCATTTGAGTCAAATACAAACAGAGAACTAAAAATTTTAATGCCGATGTCTTAAGACAACTACATTTATCTGTGACCGATAAAAACTGGTAAGATTTCTGAGATTTTGTATTTCATGGAAGCTCTGGCACCCACCGCCCCTAAAAATGAGTCATTTCAAGAAATTAGAAGGTGGCCCAACCATGACCTGGTATTTTGTCATATATTGATATGCATTATCCATTTGGCTGAGCCAAGTAAACTTTGATGAGAACCTAATATTCTATCAACATAGGTGCCAAAGTGCTCTTGTTGGGTAACCATGTAATAATACTTCCATCAGGCAGATAGTCAATATTACAAGAATGACGTGGTGCATCCTAGCAGATCAATAATGAAGTTGCTTACATTCAGGATTTTCTAGTTGCTGGATGCTGGCGAGGCTGTTGTTGCCAATGTTTTGTGTGCCAAATAAATTGGCAAATACCTGTATTATTACTGTTCCACTCTCAGATGAGCCCAAGTAAACAATGGTCAAGAATCCAAATTGAATATGCAAGGCAGGTATTATTTCTAGCTGTTACTGACTCCTATTCCAAATGGATGGATATTTACCCATTTGACTCAGTGAATGGAAAGCAAACAGTGACCAAGTTTCACAAGGTATTCCAGAGGTTATGGTTCTTATTTTGTCAATGAGGTATTTAAGGAATTTTGCTTATCTCCATATAAGTAATGGTCTGGCAGAAAGTATAAAAAAATGGCATTAAAGTGTTTTCAAAGAACAACATCAACACTCGATTAACCTGATTCTTATTAGCCTATCACAAAACTCCTCAGATGTTGACTGGATATTTATTTGCAGAACTGAACTGAAAGTTAAGTACTTTGTTAGATCATATCTTCCATGAACCCTTTTCTAATGGGAAGGAAAATTAATTATAGCAGAAACAAGGCTATGATTATGATTAACATGCCCATCAGGGAGAGTTCCAAAAAGGTGATCGTGTGTTTGATATTACAGGAAACACTCAGTGGTTGCTGAGTGTAATGAAAGACAAATTAGGCTCTGTATTCTATGTGTTATAGTAGTTGAACTGTCATATTATATAGATCACAGGAGAGTCATATGTTGTGCTGCTATGAATGCCTACAAGTATGATCTAATTTTGGTGAAGATTGGTGAATATCAGCTAAAATCTGTTGCCACAGATTTACCTGTATTGGAAAAAATCTTGTGTTTACACTTGGGGAGATTCAGTCCTAGTTTATGTTAATCAAAGATTGTTCAACAAACTTAAATGGGTAGCCAAATAATGGAAAGAACAATAACAACTACTGGACTTGAGAAACCTATTTTTCTGAAAAATTGTTTTAATAAGATTTTATAAATTTCCACCAAGAGCAATATTGGCTGATCAGTCTAATATTACCATTTATGTAAGATAGTGAAAACAATGTTGAACTTTTATCTATAAACAACAAATCCCCTTAACTCATTGACCAATTATGTAAAGTGATAAAAAAGACTTCTGGCATCCATTGTATCTTATTATAATTCTGCTTGTCAACTCCTTAGTTAGCAAGACCATTATACCCTCATAAATAATGGATTTTTCTATTTTGATCATGTAGAAAGATGGAAAAGAACTATCAGAGATGCTACTTGGTTTCAGTGAGAAAATGAAAGAGAGAAAGAAAGAAATGTTTAATGTCTTTTTCAGGGAGATGGAAAAAGTTGTCAATTCCAAATATTTTCATTTGAACCCCCTTACTTCTTAAAATAATGACCAGCACTCATATTTATGATTGTTATTGCAGTATTTTGTTAAAGTTGTTAGGCTCAAATATTTAATGATGTGATAGAGAAATTTCTAGGCATATTTTATTGTCATAGAATTCACCATGAGCTTATTTAGTCATTAACTTAAGATTCATCAAAAAATTCAGATAGGAAAATTGTAAAATTCTCATGTGTACTTCTAGTACAAAATAATTTATTAAGTAGATATAAGAAATATGTGTAATTATTTAAAATTTAATTCCTTAGTAATTAAGTACATTGCATAAATTAGTATTTGAAGCACAATGTGTTGAGAAAGAGAGAAATAAATAAAAAGAGAGTGAGACTTACTTCAATCTCAGCACATGTATCAATTCCATCATCATGTCCTGTCTTTTCTTCAGATGATCTTTGAGAAGACCTGGTGATAAAAGAAATCATATATGGCAAGCAAAGTACTGTTAAAGGCATCAAAGAAATATGACAAAAATACAAGACACTCAAAAAATGTTTTTTGAAATCATAAATGTATAACTTCTATAGAATAAAAGATTTGTCTTGAATTGTGACACTGTGGCTGGCTGTGCTTATGTTTATTTCTTAATAATTAGGTCACCTATTTAACTGAACTAGAATTGGTTAAATAGTACTATTAGTAACTGAAGCGAACCCTATTGTCTGTTTAAAATATTTATATTGGCCTGTAACAGATTGAACAAGGATTCGGATTCATTTATCATTTTTTTTTAAAATTACCTTCTAAAACATCTATACAAGTCTTATATGCAGAAAAAGTCTATAGGTCTAATTTCAGAAAATACAAACAAACACCTAAAAGAAAAAATCCATATTTAAAAATCAAAACAAACATTTTTTAGAGTAGGATAATACTTTTCATTTTTTGAGGGGGTCAGATAAAAAAATATACAGTGCTGTTTGATAAAAGTGACTCACCTTATCCTTTGAATTTAGCTCAACTTTCGTTTCATTGGAGAAGAGAACATTCTTCCAGTCTTCTATGGTGAAATTTTTGTAATAGTGAGCCCATTCAAGTCTCTTGGCTTTGTTGACTTTGCTCATTAGCAGCTTAAACCTTCATGTACAAGATTTGTAGCCTTGTTCTAATAGCCACCGATGGACTGTTGAAGAGGCAAGACTAACACCTTGCTCTTCGCTTAGACTGGCTGCAATTTCTTGGCTAGTTATAGTCCTATTCACAACTTCTCTTTGATTACCCTGCCAGTTCTATCATCAATCTTTTTCTTTTGTTCCCTTGTTTCCTTCCTTGGAGCAGGAGTGGCATCATTATGGGCCCTAAGCACTCAAGAGACAGTTGATTGTGAGGTTATAGCAATTTCTGCAATTTCTCTTGTAGACTTGTCTGCTTTTGGGAGGGCAATAATAGATGCCTTAAGCGGTTCTGATGCGTGTTTGTACCCTTTCATCTGGTTAGTCACTTGAGTGGCTATTTCAAGCTGTTTTATACTGTATGAGGCTTTCTGGAATATTCTGGAACACTCTAGATTTTATTTAAGCTGTTTTAGAATTCTCTAGAATATTGTTCTCAATGTATTGTAAAATAGTTTTCAATATTTTATCAAAGGCTCTTTAAATTTACCAGTTTAATCATTAGAATTCGATATCTGAGTCACTTTCTTTACACAGAGTTTTTTTCTGAATCTCATTGATATCCAAATTTATAATTATCAATAGAATACCTTAGGGTGAATAAACTTTTTTCCTAGGTGGTCGGGAAGGGGTCTTTATATTAGTAAGATTAAAAATTATTTTAACCTAAAAAACAATAGACAAAAAATATTTTTAGTAAAAAAATCAGGTGAGTCACTTATCGAACAGCACTGTACAATCAGAAATCTTTCAAACTTAACATCTGACTCAGCTCCTTGACTTTTTCATTTTGTGACACTGTGCCTTTTTATATATTTTAGACATGTGCAGCTGTCTCTCAGGGTCAGTGAGTGATACCAAATTTGTTGGATGCTCAAGAACCTGATATATAATAGTGTTGCATTTTGTCGGCACTCTGACATTTTTTTTAAAACAACCAGAAGAAAAAGCTTAAGCAAAAAACTGATTCTGGATATAAAAAAGGCCTCAAAGTATCAAAAAAGTATTGTTATGTGGACAAGATCAACCAGTTCATTCACATTTTTACAGCATCTGTTTTTTGTTCCATGGATTGCATTTATGAAAGACTTGTGTTTAATTTCCTTTAAGTTTCTGTTCATTTTTATTTGAATTTATTTTGTCTAGTGTAATTTTTTTAAGCTGCATGAAGACCATTATTTTGTTTTTCCCTTTTTTTCTATTAATTATTTGGGTTTTTATTTTTTGCAACCCTGTCCAAATATAAGCCAATTTTTTATTTTATCTTCTTTTACATGATTTAATTTTTCCTGTTATATGTTGGCCATTTTTATTTAAGTAAACCATTATTTTTACTTGTTTTTTCTTTTATTCACCCACCCAGTATTAAACCATTTTCTTATTTTATTTTATTTTGTATTGGTTAAATTTTTCTGTTTTACTTTGGCCTTTGTTATTTAAGCAAACCTTTATTTTTACTTTTTCTTTTTTATTTCCCAGCCAGGCTGTAAGCCAAATTTCTGTTTTATTTTCTTTTGCATTAGTTAATCTTTTTTGTATTATGTTGCTCATTTTTATTTAGGCAAGCTTTTATTTTTACTTTTATAAACAGCTTGGGTCAAGAATAGAGCAAAAAGAGATGTGGGCTACTATGTCCAAAAACAGAAACATTTTTCCCAGTATTTAAACAGAAATGAGCTCCTAACAAAACCAGAAGCAATGAATACTGTGAAAACAAGGATAATTTCCTTGCTGACCATGGATGTAAAAACCCAAAAATTAATTGGGATCAGCAGGGACATCTTGATAGAGGCATTTAAAAGCCTGAAAATAGGGCCAAAAATCCTGGCCAAAAGATCAACTGTTATGTGAGACATCTTGCTAGAAACAGAAGAGATCCAGGCAGCTGGCTGGCAATATTTAGACCACAAGGACTTCAGATGGAGTATATGAGCACCTGAAAGACAAGGATGACTGTGCACAGTGTGCCTGCTGATATTTCTGAGAACTAGCTGGGTGACTATTTTTTTTTTAGCGGGGTAAATATTATTTTGGATAGGTTGGGATGTTTCCCCTGTAATAAGAAAAGCAGGCATTGCCACTGGGGATTTTGTCCTTTGGTTTTCCTACACAATGTGTTAACAGAAGATTCATTCTGGGTGAAGAGTGTTAGGGTTGTCTTTCTTAGCCTTACCATCACTCCTCCCAGTTCTCAGGTTGAATGCCATTGTAGACCCTGGAAACAGTGCAAGTTCTTCCACAAGTGTTGAATGGCCTTGCATGCTACTCTGTGGTCCAGTGACCTTTCACAGCTTAGGAGGATAGTATATCTGGAAATAGTGTGGGGGGGTGCATTAGACCCACTCAGTGGGTGGCTCAGCTTGTCAGTGACTGGTTTGTGCTCTATTAGGGTTCTGGGTGACAGTGTCAAATTATCTCAGCAACCTTGAGTTTTTGCTTATCTGGCAATTGATCCAGAACATGCTATCAATGATGTGGACTGGGCAGATATGCCCAACTGCCATATGTGTGACCTTGGTTTGGAAGAAACAGTTGTGCACATCTACTACTGTCCTTATGTGTGCACATTTTGGGATCATGTCGGCGAGTTGACAGTTTGTATCAATCCCAAACATCTTATGTCAATTGATGGTGCATATGTGTGTGATAATGTGTCTTCCCTGTGTTCTGGTGAGATGGATAGTGTCTCTGATGCTGCTAGACATGGCAAAGATGGTAGTGTGGATAATATGGATGGAGGGATCTTACAGTATGAATGTTATTCTCATCAGGATCTGATTGAATTCTTTTGGCATCAGCTCAGGGTGCAGATCAGAACTGATAGAAAATGTTCGTTATAGGCATATACAAAAGGTAGGTAAAAGTAGTAAGCTTGGTTCATGTAAATGGAGCCAATCTTGATTTTCTTTTTTAGTTGCTTATTGATACAATGAGGCAGTTTCCTGTTGGACCCCTTCCCTGGTTAAGATAGACTCATTTTTTTATCTAGTTAATGTGAGTAATTGATGTTCCTGGCCTGTTATCGGCATTCTCTTTTGTTATGATGCATGTCAAGATTCTCATCCTCCCTAGTTTGTTTTTTGTTTCCCTACTTTTTATCTTGACTGGATCATGCCTTTAATATTTCTCCACTCCATAATTTATTTTGTCTCTTTCTTGCCCCTATCGAGTGAGCTGCTTGATTCTGCTTAGTGGCAGAATACATTTTTTTCTGTGGGGTGGACAGATCCGACTAACATTTTGATTTTAGTTTGAATGTTTTGTACTTTATTTTCATTATTGGGTTCATCCCCTCCCCCATCATTTCATGTCATATTTTTATAAGAAAAAAGAAAAGAGGAACAAAAAAAAGAAAAAAGACAATTGTATATATTGTGAAATTTTATGTCATGAGTGTTTCAGTAGGATCCTTGTGAATATGTGGTATTATGGTATATGTTTGGATTGAATGGTAATGAATGAATTCTTGTGACGTATGAGTAAATTGTAATGGATGAATGGGTTGTGAATTGGATTAGCTAGGTGTAGGATAGTCAGTGACAACCAGCCTTTCCACAATTCCCCTTTTAGTTCTGTACCATATGAGAGTAGTATTTCAAAATAAAGTATTTTTCCATGACCCAGATGATTAGGATCAAAGTACAGTATCTGTTCCAGTAGCTGACAACTGGCCCACAGCTCCAGACATCATAATCTGCAGCTCACCACCGTCTGCCACTTCAGCCATCTCCAACCCCAGTCATCCTCACCAGCAGCAATGCTATGCAATAAACTGCTCTTTTCAGGCCAATGCTCTTCAGTGACCACAAAACTATCCTTTTCAGGACAACACTCTCCAACGACCACAAAATTTCTTTTCAATGACTACCAAACCTGTCTTTCTCAGGGCAATGTTCTTTTCACCCAATACATGAACATTTTTTGCCTAGTGCACTGTAACCTTATTTCTGTTGATGTATTTTCTTTAACAAAAATAAACTTGGCAATATATTTTTTACTCAAGTCTTTGTCTTGTTTGTTGTTGTCTTACATCATTAAATATTTGTTTGCATGCCACACACAACAATAGTATGTTGATTGTATATAATATACATACATGCATGCATATGCTTTAGATCATCACTAGATTACTTAAAATATCTAATACAATATAGATACTATGTATATTGTTGTAATGCTTAACAAATATTTGGGCAGAACATCAACACCTGTGTGTATGGGGAATTTTAATGTCAAAATCTTTGTATCATTAGTAAGATTGAGCAAAATTCTGATATAAAAAATATTTTTGTA